GATCAACACTCTCTCGGATCCAGGAGTTGTTCATCACCCCGAGGCGAGTAACATCTCGCCCAACTCTGTCTCTTTTGTTTTACATGAATTTATTGAGTTTAACGAGTTTTTATTGAGCCAAAAACGTATTGTTTGTACCAAGAATGAATCTTTATGATATATGAGGTGAGGTATTGAGCATCTCAGTTTATAAAAAGACCAAAAATGTTTTATTAAATGGATCTAGATCTGAAAAACGTTTAACAAGAGTTATTTCACGATTTATTGATTTCAAAACGTATTAAACATGTTTTTATGTGTTTAAGGTTTTTGATAAATGTTTATATGTGATCTTTCATTCCAGTTTAGTGCAAATATGTTGATATCAGTATTTTTCATGCTTGGGATTGATGGGGATGAGTTTAGATCGAATTTTGAGTAAATAACAACCTGTGCAGAATATCTGCAGTCAATCGGTCGACTGATCAGTCGACCGACGGGCTAAAATTTTCAGTCATCAGTCGACTGATCAGTCGACTGACGGGCTGATTTTGTCTTCTCATCTTCCTAGTCGACTGGTCAGTCGACTGGTGAGCTGAGACTGTGCCGTCTGATCTTTATCGGTCGACATATGAGTCGACTGACGTCATCAGTCGACACATCAGTCGACTGATGAGCTGTTTTACAGATTGTTGATCTGTTTGAGTTACTTTTCGGGGTCGCCTCGATGACCTGACCCTAGTTTACCATGTTAATGATTTATCAGTACATGTGGGATGACTTTTGACACAAGTTTAGACATGTACACCGAGATGCGGGTGAGTTTAGATTATGTTTACCTGTCCACATATGCTTTTCACAGTTACACAGTCCTCGTGTCATGATATTCATGTAAGTAATAACATGATATTCATGTAGGCTATGACATGGCACTGTACTTATGCTCTGAGATTAGTTGCATTTCTTTTATTATTGTTTCTTGTACTAGAACTTCGGGATTTGTGTTTAGGGATTTACAAATTTGAGATATAAGGTATATACATGAGGGTTTCCTTGTTTGGATTATTTCGCTCGACGTACCTATGCTCGTGTTGTAAATTTCTAAATACTAAAACCCTCTTTAGTAAGATCAATGATTTTAGATCTATTATGTATTATCTGTATTTTCTTATACAACGAGCCCTGTTCCCTTGGGGTTGGTTGTGATGTTGCTCGCTAGCGCTTTGACGCTCGTTGTCCCTCCCCCTTTCAGGTAACGAGCCAGGAGCCCGGAAAGTCGCAGGTTGATGGCGATGCATTTTAGCTTCAGCTGTCTACTTAGTTATATTTTCTTTTGGAGTTCCACAGTAGACTTTTGTTTAGACATTTGAGAGTCTTATTCCAGAAGTTGTAAAGGCCCTGTGCCTTATTTCCTCTTGTCAGATATTTGTATTTTGAGACTTGTTGAGTATTCCAGTTTATCTATTCAGACATTGACTATGTATTTCTGTATGTTGGATGATGAGATATTAATGTGATCACTATCATTTCATTAGTTATTTCTTGTATTATCTTTTACTTGCTTTGTACTGCACCTGTTGTTGATTCCACTAGAGAGATAGTAATTGTGATGGTGAAACATGTTATTGCACGGTGTGGTGCATGGCAGGTTTGACATTTCTGGTTTCACCTCGGACTGCAGCCTTGTGTGAACCCAGGGGCGTCACATTCATTGTGTAAGAAAGTCTTATAAAAAGACTAAGTTTACTTTGAATTTGTAATTGATAAACGTGTAATGAATTCAGTAATGAAAACAACTTTCGACGTAAACATGCTGGCGACCACAGTGGGAGCCAACAGCCTCTCTGTCGAGGCTATCGTGTCGTAACTAAGGATCTAGATCCCGGTTGATGTAGAGGTCGAGTACGAGTTCGACCAGGCCAAGTTATGGGAATACCTTATTGGCCTTCTTGTTTTGATGATGTTTAACAAACAATTTATGACTAATGTTGCTTGTCTAGTATTTGTGTTTATCTAATCATTATAGACAAACAACATGTTGGAGGATGATGGAATTACGCATTCACGATCATATCCAATGGAGGTTGGTGGAATTGTGGAGTGAAGCCTTGCAATTCAAGTTGAAGATCCAAGTTCGAGCTTCATCCGCAAGTGTACCAAGTCGAGTTTATTGAAGATCAAGATTGCTTGGGTAACATTTAGTTTAGGTTTTTATATTATGTGTGTTGGTACTTTAAGATCAATCATATATACACACACACACACACATTACATTTAGTTTAGGTTTTTATATTATGTGTGTTGGTACTTTAAGATCAATCATATATACACACACACATTACATTGGTTTT